TTTCATTCTGAACTTAGCACTATACGACTGATATGAATGGAAGTAGAAACAACAACGTAGAAGGAAACACCTTCTCTGACGAATTCTCTAACACACAGATGAACGATATGCTCCTCTAAACTGCAATAAGTTCTCCGATGATAAAGGATCACGACGAAATTTCGTTGGTTTCTGAAGAGTGATTAAGAACGATGCAATTTAAAAGATCCATGATATCCCCTGACTGTCTAAATGACTACTATGTGTAGGATAACAAAAACGTTTATCTTTTTTACCTCCTTTCCCATGTCCTATGACCCTTCGTTTGCGTTTTCAATTTTAGTTTTGTCAAAGACCAAATGTTTTTGAATGATTATTTTGAAGTGAGTCCACTTTTATGAAGTGAACGCGATTAGTTTAATGGAAACATTTATTACTATAACCAATTGTGCCCGTGATTTTTTTACTGTACTCTTTGTGTAATTGAACCGGACACACGCCCTTTCCGTTCAAGTGGCCTTTATCTCGCTTATTGTACTCATGGTAGTCTCGCCAATACCCTTTGCAACGATCTTCGTATCATTGCGATACCACGAGATCGTCAATAGATTTAGATTCCATCATACATCCCACCTTCTTGTTTTGGTTTTAAGGACGGATTTTACTTGTTAACTGAAACATAATTGGCCTTTGGTGGTGATCGTAGTCAACCGGGATTCGTCCTACTAAAATGTATTTGGTTAAAACAAGACAAATTGAGGTATTTTAATATGCTTTTGTGTATATATATGTATAAATTCTTAAAAATTCAAAAAACATTCAGTGTGCCATATACATTGCTGTTGCGCGTTTTATATGCTGTCAATTTTCAACTTGAAGGCATTGATGCTGATAACGCCGTGTGGTAGGCCAAGACCGCTCAGAAAAGTGTAGTCATTGCTCAGGCAATTTACAGAGAAACGAAGCCCTATGGAAATCAAATATGTGTAGCCAAACAAGAGCTTATCTGCAGTTAGACAAGCCATAGTCTGAAAGCCAGTATAGAAGGTTAAATGTTGTTGTTGTTTACGGACTTCCTCACAAATAATACGAAAATAATATCATTCTCGCGACCGGGCGATCGCTGCCGTCTCAACGAAATCAAATGCGACTTCCGATATCCAATATCTTATTCACGAGCTGGTATAGACCAATTGATTTATCTGGGCTCGACTCCCGTTCTTTCCGTACGGTTTCAGGCGTTTTGTAGTTTCCAATGAATGGGGGTCTAAACACTCTACTGCTTAATTCTAGTCAGTTGGTAGTCGATTGTGAGTTTGCGTGTCCCGTAATTTGAATGAACACTCTTGTTTCGTGGCATTAGGGTTTCTGGATGCCAGCAACTACCACCTTACCAGGTTGGAGATCAGCTGGCTGCAATGTGGACAGTTATAAAGAGGAAATTCCAATGGCAATGTGATTTAAGAACTAAGTAAATAAAGAGATAATTTAGTTTAATGACTGGTAGTGAAGAATTTGACAGAGGACCGAAGTGTAACCAAGGGAGAGGAAAAAGAGATAGAAAGGGAGATAGATTAAGTTAGTGATCTGAGTATGTGGCAATGATAACAACTAGCAGGTCTCAAGACATGCATCAGGCACAGCTGGTACACGAGGGACACGATAATCCATATGTGAATATGTGATTATCAAGTATCTTCTTAAAGCTATCCACTGAGGCGGCTGTGGTTAAGTCGTCTGGGAGATCACTTCAAGTTGCAACGACTCTTAATGAGAAAAGGTGTCCACGGACCTGAGTATTAGCTTTTTGATGCGCAGTTTTTCCAGGATTACCTCGAGTGGATTGGTGGTAATATATCGGTAAGATGGTTTGGTATGCCCAATATGTTGCACGCCATAATCAGATCACCCCTGAATCTGCTGTAATTTAGGGGGAATAATCCCAAATTCTGGAATATAACTTTGTAAGTTCTATTTTTCAACCAGTCAACCGTTTCGTTGCTCTTCTCTGCACCCAATACAAAAGATTTAAGTCTCTTTTAAGGATAAGGGGTGCGATGGTGTTGTGAACTACAAAATGCGGACGCGCATGTCTTCAAAGAAGTTAAAAATAATTTTGACGAGATCACACCAATTTGTCTTTGCATAAAGTGAAGAATTGCATTTACATTGGCTGCGTCTCCTATTTAGTTTGGGGTTGTATGGAGGCTTGCTGTGGTTATTAAACTGTAATCGCGCTCTAAGGAGACATTAGGGAGCGACATTTATTGAGGGTATAAGTCGTTTGCCTCTTGTGGGGCAGAATGTACATGACGTGACATTTTGGCTGGTTTAGTTTTAAACCCTTTTCACAGCCCGCTCCTCAGTGGATGTTAGGTCCTTTTGGAGCTCTTCTAATGGACCTCCAGATCTTTGCATCAGCTGCATAGATCAATGCCAGCGAGCTAACTGTATCTAACAGGTTCTTATTAAATATCAGGAAGAGTAGTGGGCTTACGATGGTCCCCTGTGAAACTCCTGATGTTGAGACTCGCCAACTCGCGTGCACTCTATTTCCATTTGAAAATAAACTTCTTACTTTCAAGGTAGTTTCTGAGCCGAGATACAAGTGTGTCAGTAAAGCCCATTTCTGCAAGTATCGCGATCAGGCGTGCGTGGGGTACTGTGTCAAAGGCTTTCGCAATATCAAAAAATATTATGTGCAGTGGTGTTTTTCTGTCCAAGCAGGATGTCCAACTATCCCATGCTGTGAGAAGATTGGATGCACACGACCGGCTTTTCCGAAACCCGTTTTAAGCTTCACAGAGTATTTTATTCTATTCCATATACTCCCTCATTTGTTCGTTCATAAGCCTGGTTACTTTCCTTGGCGTAAGGATTTTAATTTCCTTGGTACTAAGTTGGGAGTAATACGGATATTTTCTAAGCCGTCAGCTGAAACTGGGTCTGCCTAGTACTCAGGACGTGTGGATGCCTGGTTTAATTGATCGGTGACGTTTGTGTTCAAGACCTCAGCCATCTCTAGGTTGGTGAGGTCTTATACATTTGAAAATTTGAGAGAGAACTAACCTCGATTCGTAGGTTTTCTTTTAGTCATGGACCTAAGCAGATGCTTGCCTGTATTTTGGCAGCTGGCTTCATCTGAAAGCGTCTCCTATCACATCAAATGTTGGTATTGCATCTGTTTCTCAATGCCAAGTAAGAACTGTGGTCACAATACCTCAAGGAGACCTTCCACTTGTGCCAGGCTTTCGTATTCGCCTGTAGCAAGCGTTCCGTGCCACGCCTTACCGATGTTCTTCTACTTCCGGGTGTGTGGTGCGGCACAATGTCCGTGACAGCGTTCTGAACGATGTCTCTCACTGTCTGCCAGTGATCAGCTACTGTCACCCTCCGACAATGACGTGGCCATGGGGCATGTAGTAGGACCCCTCTCATACGCGTATAATTTGCCCTAGTGCAGCAGAGACATGGCTCGTTTTCGTCCTGTGTGAGTGCTTCGTTTATGACCATGTGTGTTGGTTTGTGTTTTGGCTGCTTTGGTTGCCTGCTTCACTGGTTAAGTACTGGGTGATTTAGGTTTATCCACTGGGACTTTTGAGCTGATTTTGGGTGGGGCCTGTGGATTCGCCAATGCCTCAGGTACTTTGCAACGTTGACAGATATATCAGAACCGCGGACAAGGGTGTCTCAGTTTGAACACATAGTACTCTCTGAGTACTGTAGTGTCGCAGTTACAGAGGACCTATGTGCTACAGAAACTGCATTCAAAAGCAGTCACCGATTTCGACTGATACTGAGCAGGCGACACAGTCATTCTCCTAAGATTTCTGAACGAAAGACTGTTCCAACTGAACCTCATGACACCTTTGTATCCTATTCCTATTTACCCTACTGGTCTTTTTAGGAGTAGGTCCTTCACTCCTCAACATCACAACCATCATTCAAATATCCTTTTGATGCTCCACATTTCCGACTTCTGGTTTCGCTCAGCTCTCAGTATCTTAAATCAGGAACGTTTTACAAACAAAAGCGATTCCAAACTCTGAATGTTCATGACTTCTTCCCTTACTATGGACAATTATGTAAAATGGATGTAGTTTATTGATTAAGCAGTCACACCATGGCAACCCCATCATACATGGTGATGTCTTTTATTCTAGTATCATTTTTAAGTGCATGGATGCGAATCGATACACAAATCCTACAAATTCACCTAAGCCTTGAGCAGTAGTTGAACATCATCTCTTCAAGTCATTGAGAGAACTATAACTCTGGGTTATTCGGACTGTTGATCAAGCTATATGTCGTTAAGATGTTATACTCGCCATTTTTACGCTAGACAGCCGATGACTAACATTTATATATTCATTGAGTGTCGTTAGGATGAAGAATGATTAACGCGGCTTGAGCAAGTGAACGTCATAAAATTTCCCATGGAGCAGGAATTTCAAATTGTACTTCACGAATCTTTTCATATTGCAGAATAAATTAATCCTAGAGTGTCAGTGAAAAACTATTTTCACCTGGGTTTTATAATGGTGTGATGTAATTTCGAAGTTAGCTAGGAGTCTACGCCACTCAGAATTGAAGATGGCCATCCTTATATGCACTTCTCCGTTGCCGATGGTTCAGAACACTTTGGATCCTAGTCGCCGACGATCTAATAGGCAATGTAGCGTTCAGTATTCCAAACTGTCTAGGGAACATCCAGAAACATTCAGTTTATGTCTGATCTTGATGCATTATGATATGTTTCATTTCTTCCTGCCTCCACATATTTCAGTCGTTGCTGAGAGATATTTAGGTTTCGTTGCTATTAGACAAAGAAGAGCATTATGAGAAAGCTTTTTCTCACAAATAAACACTTAGAATTACTGAAGACTATCAACAACCCTTGAACTGTACCGAAAGAACAAGACTGGAGAGCAAAGAAATCAATTGGTGTATACCAGCTCGTGAAAAACATATTGGATATTGGACACTAGCTAGTGAAAAAGATATTGGATATGTGAGGTGGAGCGATTTTTGCTCTGTAGGTCATGGTTCGTCTGATAACGAAATTATTTGTTTTGTTTTCTGGTGGATTATAAATCATTGACACGTTGTATTAGTAAGTATCACCGTTATGCGCATGATCATTTTGTTTTGTAATATTTATCTTGATATATTGTATATCGTTACATCATATTGGATATCAGTTGTTTTACCTCTTACAAATCCCCATAATAATAGTTACCTTTTCACTTGGAAACCATACTTCATTTATATAAATTGACTTGGAATTCGCTCAAATTTATGTCCTAAAAGTGTCTTTTATATAAATATATTAAGTGGTAATTAAATCACCCGAGTCTAAAATTTGCTAGGCGAAAAACTAAGTGACAGTTTGCTTAATACGAACGTTTTTTGTATCTAACCCGGTGTTGTATAAGTGCTTGCATCACTATTACTTTCGTGAGAAGATCATTACCAGATCATTACCGAGTACTTGTAATGGTACTGAAATAAGAAACATGCTCATAGAATTCAGTCAGTTTATACTAACTCTTGATAAAGATAGTGGATATTGAAAGTAGCTTGTTATAATTGAATTGGTGACGGTCATAATCACTTTAGTGGATTTGCACGTGAAAGCTGTCACGTTTTCAGCAAAATAGGTAAAAAGGCTTTGATTGAAAACATTAAAGCTGTTTAATCTAGCTAGGTTTAATGCTTGCTGTTCATACACCGAAAAGTGAACACACGCTCGATTAGCATTATGTCATGGTAGTTAAAAATAAACTTTATTTTCACTAAGCATCCTATGGGCACTGGATTTCGCTAGATTCCACGAGGTTTCTCTGCACTCCGGCATTTCAAGGGTTTTATGATACATGGAAGTCATTAGTCAAGAGAATTTCATAATATTTGAGTATAAACCAGTAAACGTGGTGGCTGCGTCCTCCAAACGAGTTGAAAGTATTAAGTAGAGTTGTTAACCTCCAGAAACTTTCAGCTAATACAAGTTGTTGGCAGAGAGAAGTCTATTGCAGATTATACGGAACCGCTCAGTAGCTTGACTGTAAAGGACTGGGTATATAGCTTAATTACTTTACTTACTTACGCCTGTTACCCCCCAATGGAGCATAGGCCGCCCACCAGTTTCCTCCAACCAACTCTGTCCTGGGCTTCCCTTTCCAGTTATGTCCAATTTTCGTTCATTCTTATATCTTTCTCTATTTCTCGGCGTAATGTGTCCCTTGGTCTTCCTCTTTTCCTTTTACCTTGAGGGTTCCATGTGAGGGCTTGTCTTGTGACGCAGTTAGGTGCCTTTCGTAGTGTGTGTCCTATCCACTTCCACCACTTCTTCCAGATTTCCTTCTCCACTGGAATCTGGTTTGTTCGGGTATATAGATAGTTAATGAGAAAAATTTTGATGTATTTACTAGACGTGACTTTCTGAGGTTATGATGTTATGTAACTCTATATAATCAACGCTGACATGATAAAATTACGCAATCCCAATGAACATATGCCCGAAAATGCTAAGGTCTAGCAACATTTGTTTAGGTTCAGTCAAGTCAAGTCAACAACAACATAAAACTTCGTACGTACGTACATTAGTTCAAGTTGTCATACCACCTTTTTTGTATGTAAAACTCTGAAGAGAAAAAAAAATACCACCGATTAGCCGAAATCAGTGTTTCAAGATGGTGATATTGACTTATCGCACACTCAACAGCAAATGCAAGAGAAGACGACCAGTGTAGCAGCAGCCTCTGCAGCAGTAGGTCTCAACATACATAAAGGAAAAAGCAAAATTCTCCAATGCAACACAACATGCACCAACCAAATCACGCTTGATGGAGATGCATTGGAGGACGTAACACCTCTACATATCTTGGTAGCATCATCGACAATCAAGGTGGATCCGATGCAGATGTGAGGGTGCGGATTGGCAAAGCAAGGGCTGCATTTCTACAGTTGAAAAATATCTGGAAATCCAAACAACTTTCAACCAAAACCAAAATCAGGATTTTCAATACAAATATCTAGACAGTACTACTGTATGGAGCGGAAACTTGGAGAACTAAGAAAGCCATCATGCAGAAGATACAAGTGTTTATTAACAGTTGTCTACGCAAAATACTTCGTATTCGTTGGCCAGACACCATCAGCAACAACGTACTGTGGGAGAGAACAAACCAGATTCCATTGGAGGAGGAAATCAGGAAGAAGCGGTGGAAGTGGATAGGACACACACTACGAAAAGCACCTAACTGCGTCACGAGACAAAACCTCACATGGAACCCTCAAGGTCAAGGGAAAAGAGGAAGGCCAAGGAACACATTACACCGAGAAATAGAGAAAGATATGAGAGGAATGAACAAAAATTGGACATAACTGGAAAGAGAAGCCCAGGACAGAGTTGGTTGGAGAAAACTGGTGATCGGCCTATGCTCCATTGGGGGTAACAGGCGTAAGTGAGTAAGTAAGTAAGTAAGATATTGACTTAATTATTGTTCAGTAACAATAATTAAATCATTTCGGCCAATCGGTTGTATTTTTTACACGCTCTTCAGAGGTTTCTGAGTCGAAAACCATTTGCTGACGCTGCAAATGGTTGAAAAAGCTGAGTTTTAGCCACTTCATAACTCGGGGCCTTGGTATGAAAGGTAGCTGTATATTACTGACATCTGGTTCTCTAAGACTTTCCAGTTGGCTTCTTATAGATAGTTAAACTCATTGTCTTTCTGATGTTATTAGATATGGATTAGGTTTGGAGGCAGTGGGTAATTGTTTTAGTTTTATCATAAATTATAGATGAACTCCATTATCTGGTAGGGATCTTTCTTGTCTGTACTACACTTCCTCCTTTTGTTTCTCTTCAATTACTATCACTTAATTTTTAGCATAATTTATTCAGTGCTTTACTGTACCAAAGTGATTGTTGTAAATAAGTAGCTAAATAATGAAGGATCCAGTCAATCATGTGTGCTTTTACTGTGAGACTCATTATTAGTTTTTGTATCTTTTGCTTTAACACTCCGTCACCAGACATACTTCAATGACATTTGAAACTCATAAAATTCCAAAAGGGCTGAAAGTATACCACAGAGGTTAAAAATCTGTCACTGGATTAGTAAAATATATCCGATTTGCAGTTAATTAAGGAAAAAAAACATTTTCTTCAACCATCTAATAGATAGATAATCAGCAGTGAAGTGATACCCTAATACCAACAACAGCGAGTTTGAACTTACGCTCACCAAACATTGCCAATTACAAATCCTCAATGAATTTCTTAACAGTTTTTATGCTTTCTCTATATAGTAATTCCTCAGTTCAAAAGAGTGTACGTGCTCATACAATTCGCATGCTCAACTTTTCGTTCGAGTTAGTATCGATAATCTCTTATCTAAATAGAACAGTCCCAAGTTTTCCCACTAAAAATTGCAAAATGTCGCTTCAGGCACCTGAATTAGTTATAGGGAGTGAAGTAGGTGATCGTATTGACCGCTTTACTTATCTTGGAAGTCTCGTCAATGCTGATGACCAGACATGTAACGAAATCTCGGCATGGATACAGAAATCTCGACTGGCTTTTGCAAACTTGCATCACGTAAGGCGTAGGTGAGATATTTCTCTACTAACCAAATGACGAGTCTACTGCACATCAGTTCGCTCCGTCCTACTTTATGGGTGCGAAAAATGGCCACTAAGAGTAGAGGGTATTGGTAGGCTGTTAGTACTCGATTATAGTCGTCTTCGAAGCATTGGTCGTACATCCTAAGACAATCGATTAGGTAGTACTGCTGTTAAGAAAAAAGTATTAGGTAAGGGTGGTAGATCAATTGATGAAGTAGTGAATGTTTATCAATTGAGATGGTCAGGACATTAGTTACGAATGCCCAACCGCTGACTGCCTTGGCGAACGATGATAGGGTAGGCTGGAAGAAAGCTAAGGGCACAAATCGATGAAGTCACTGACAAGTGAACTGAGCCATATTAGTAGATTTAGACTACTTGGTTAGAGTCTGCGAGATGATAGTAACCGATGGTTAGAGACCTTAAACGACATTGCTCAGAATCGTTTACAATGGCGCAGGTGCACCCATTCTGTGTGTTCTCTGAAATCTTAATCTTTTGAATTCCTCATAACCGTTTTTTCTCTTATTTTTGATCGATTTCCTTGAGGCATACATCTCGAATGATATATTCGATCGCCGCTAATACTTGTACTACCTCTACTACTATGGGATTTGAATTGACAATTGCATCTCTGTGTTAGTGTAGTATGGCAACCTGAACTTATGTACGTACGACGTTTTACGTTGTTAATGACTGATTTATGTATGTATGTATGTATGTACGTTGTAGCTGACTGACTGAATTGCATTGCTTGTCTGAAAGTCTAGTTTTTGAATTACCAAGACACTTAAAACATTTTGATGAACGAACCTTAAGTATTATGAAGTCTGATTAATACGCTGAAATAATAATAATATAATTATTTTCACTTATTTTCTTTATTTATTGTATTTTGTTCTCATAACTAATTTTTTTGGAAGGATTAAAAAACCAAATGACCAATAATATTGACATTGTGTCAGCTATCCATTGTAATCATCCAGAAATAAAGTTGACTAGATCAAATTCTGATGCACCTTGCAAATCAAGACGCAGAGTTCGTTTTCCTGAAGATGATAAACTTATATCAGATTATTTAGAACCATTCCGATTAGGTAATTTCAACATTTTTGGTTCTTTTTATATGAACTAGTGCTTATTTTCATTTTTAATGTATGTAAGTGGTTTATATTGAACAAGTTAGGAAACAGCAGTAGTGGTTCATGTTACGAACGCACGTCAACACGTCAATTGATGTGCCTGAACTATTACGAGTTCACCTTAGTCGGTAAACGAGAGCGAGGATCGACGATCCGGCGACACAACGGGCTATTCTAATCCGAGCATCCCAAACCCCCATCGAGTAGAAGTAGAAGGCTTGATATGAAATAGAACATGTATTCTACAAGCATCCAGAAAGTATGAGGTTCGAGTTCAGAAGAGGATAAGGATCCGGGTCATGAAACGTTACACGTAATGCATATTTATACAGTTAAGTCGAATAGGAAACAACAACTATGTAACATTGATAGTTAGCACAACCAATAGGAATCGACCAATAGGATTAGACTTACAAATAATTCTCTTAGGATATTGGATGAATATCCTAACAGTTCACTACAAACAGATGCTAACAGATTACTGAAATAGAATTTGAGTGTTTGGTTATTGTTTATGAGGTTGCTATTTAATTCCGATCAGGAATAAAAGACAAAGCGGATGCCAGTCTGTTTTTCATCAAATCCACATATAATCTTTGGTGCAGAAATTATCGCAAGCCTACATGATCATCTTACTTCTTGCATATATATTAGTAAACATTTATATTGATTGGTTAATGAAGAGTAAACTTTATGAATGACTTAGATAAATTAGATGAAATTACAACTGAATGATATAAAAGACTTTTATTTCGCAAATAGTAATAATAATGTTAGAATTCTCTGTTATTATTACAACCCAGCTATTCCTAATGCTTAGTATTCTCGTACATCGATTGATTCTCTCTAGACGTTCTCCCAAAATCAGAACACGGTTAAACAGGAAATAGATTTATATTCCAACAATAAGGTTAAAAGGAAGACAGAAGATCCAAAGAAAAAAAAATCGTTATTGTATATATAGTTTTCTTACATTAGAAGATTCTAGAATGTTCCCTCAGTATCGGCTGGCACTGATTGGATACGAAAGAGCCAATCAGCGTGCAGTAACGCAATCATGCTTTAAGCCAATCTCTGTCTCCCTAACAAATAATGATAATAATAAATACAATTGTATAATTCATAAACATGCATATTTACCTACATGTGTGTCCAGGGTATAAGCGAATAAAATTTGGTTGATTGTCTAAAAAGACAACTCATCAGCTAATCAATTTATTTGATCCTAACTATAATCAGATTACATAAGTTGAATATCTCTTAAAATACTATTAGAATCACACCCACTGTTGTTATTGAATATCTGTCGTTCAATTGCTTCCCTTTTCGGATGTTGGAGCTGTGTTTTTTAAGTTTTGTTCTAATCTGTTGATTTACCAACGTTCGAATATACGGACTCCATCTTTTTTTAAATAGTTGTTTACAGTAAATACAACTTACACTTCAAAAAGATGCATGATCTAGCGTGTTTAGAATTTCATAATTATCCTAAAAGTGGACTACTACGTTCGGTATCTCGTAAATGCCATAGATTACCTAAGTTAGCCTAAATCTTAATTCGTCTCTCATACTGAATATAATAAGAATATTTATTCAAGTAGTGCAGGCGTTTCATAAATCGTTATACAGTCATTTCATACTTCTCATCTATCGATTTTGTCAATTCCTTGTGAACTATGTTCTGTGTTTCTAGTAATTATAACTAGCATAACTATGATTATTTTCGTTAAATTGGTATTTTTATTTGTTAATTTCCCGTCTGTCTTAATAGGTATCAAAATAAATACCCGTATTTCTTAGTCTAAGAGATGGTAATATATATATATATATATATATATATATATATATATATATATACTTTTCTGGCAAGTAGTTACTATATGGTAGATGCTGTCTTTAAATCAAATTCGACATACTTATATCAAACTTTTACATATTTATTGTTAGTTTAGCTCTCTTCCACGGTGTGGGCAGCCAGGCAGTGACAACCGCCCTCATAACCGTAACAGCAGCACACGAGACCAAATTGATCACAATCAAGTCCTTCCTACCCCCCCCCCCGTAATATCTCTCCTATCTCCACGACTACCTCTTCTCACATTCCTTTATCATACTGCACCGTTCGATACGACTTCACGAAACGTTATTTCTGGTCTCCTGAAACCTCGTTCTAAATTACACACTTACGCACGAAGTTCTGCGTTTTATCTATATTTTAGTTTAGCTCGGTTTAATCCATTGCTTTCATGTAGAAAGTATTATTATTATTATTATTATTATAATTAATGCTGTTTTGCTGTAACTAGTATTTTCATTTTGTTTCTTCAGTCCCAGATAATTGTTCAAGTGAAGAACTTCAGGCAGCTTACTGTTCTTCGTGTTTTGAGCATAGAATAACTCCTATAAATTTTTTGTTAGAACAAATAAAAGTGAGCCTCGTTGATTATATGGAGCATGAAAACTGATTGATTTTTTTTTCTGTGGTTATTTTGAAATACTATTTTATCCATAATTTTATGCTATACTAGTCAATTCTCGCCCCTCCTGTTGCCCTTAGATGTGGTAGCCATTTCTCAGGTTTGTTCTCTAAAATCGAACCTTGATTCCCCGTGACCCGCTACCATCTTGGCGGTCAAGTTACATACCTTATAGGGCAAACATTTGAAAGATCTATATCCGTCACTACTGCAGCCAATAGTTATCCACATTCACCACAGAATGTAATAGGCATACTCAAGGCTGTATCCGGTTGGTTCATTTCTAATAAATGCATCTGTTCGCTTGTTAACCAGGGATTCAAGGCATTTACTAGCTATAGTATTATTACAGCTATTCATGTAGCGTTTACAGCCTAAGTAACCATAGCTGATTGAATGAATCATGTATGGTTTAATGTGTGTACTCAGACATTCATGGCTTAGTCAATGAGACAAGCATTTGACTCTTGGCGGGATCAGATGGTCTACTTAATATTATAAATATATCCTGCACGAAAGTCGTTTTACATTGGTTTTCAGTGGAATAAAACACAACACTTCTGGATTTTACACTATTACTTGAACGACACAGCTCAATCTTGTGACAGCCACAAAGGCACCAAAAGCTTTAATAGATAATATATAATTTCTGTTCAATGATCATGTCAATTAATTATGTACTGCATAAACAGATCGATTCGTCCTGTAATAATAGCGTGTTCAAATGCATGTAAATTGAAATGATTTTCTTTACAATAAATTTTATTGTTCTTTAGGGCATCGATTTATCGATTTGCAATGAACGTTACAGTCGTTTAAGTCTAAGAGGTACGTCTTTATAATTTTTTTTTATTTGAAAGTAATGTGTATGCTGTTATGCTTATTAGTATGTAATACATACAACCCAACTGATGTGTTTAGGTGTGTCCCATTAATTTATGGAGATAAAGATAGGTCACTTGTAGTTCTTTCCAATAGACTGGAGACCAGTTTTTATATCTCTAGCTATAAAAATATATTTATATGTGTGTATAGAAAAAGTTAGTAAAGGTCGACCCTAAAAATGTCACGCTTCACCTCTGCTCATGGATTTCCGTTTCCGGCGGTAAGGCCGTTTGAAGAGCGGAGCTAACACTCCCTTGGGTTCTGCGGCTACGTTGCCACGTCATTAAGACCAACACTATATATATATATATATATATATATATATTGCTAGAGATATAAAAACTGGTTTCTAATCTAATGGAAAGAACCAGAAATGGAATTAAGTCAGTCAGTCAGATGCAACGTAGAACTTCGTACGTAAGTACATCAGTTCATGTTGCCATACCACATTAGCACGGAGACGCAGCGTTCAATTCAGATCCCATAGTGGTAGAGATGGTAGGAGTACTACTAGTAATAGAGAGGATTAGGGTTCGAAGATATTATTCAATAAGTATAATTCAGTGAGATAGGTTTAGAAAGACAAAAATAGAGGTGTTGAAGAATCTAGAAGATTAGGATTTGAGAGAAAACAAAGAGTGGATGCACCTGCGCCGTTGCAAACGATTTTGAGCCATTTCATTCAACGTCTCTAACCATCGGTTACTATCGTCTCCCGGACTCCAACCAGGTAGCCTACATCTACCAACATGACCCAGTCCACTTGTCAGTGACTTCATGCATTTGTGCCATGTTTTGGTTTGGCCGCCCCTAACTTTCTTCCAACCTACTCCTACACCACAAAACATAGCTCATCGTGGCAGTCGGTGGTTAGGCATACGTAACACATGTTCCAACCACCTCAACTGATGAAGTTTCAATACTTCTTCTATTGATTTACCATCTTTACCTAGTACTTGCTTCTTTATGGCAGCATTGCTTACTCGGGTGTCCCACGATACACGAGCAATGCATCGGAAACACCTGTAATCGAAAACCAGCAACCTACGAATATCTTCTACCGTTACCGGCCATGTTTCACATCCATATAGGAGAACGGGGCGAACTGCTGAGCAGTACACTCGTCCTTTATTCAGCGAACTGATATCTCACCTACGCCATAAATGACGTAAATTGTCAGAAACCAATCAAGCTTTCTGTATCCGTGCTGAGATTTCGTAGAAGTGGAATTAAGGTTTCCTCACACCGATGGGTGGGTCTTCTGTACCCACCAACCCAGTCTAAGTCTTCCCAGACCTTTCCTCTTCGTCCTCTCAATTTGTTAAGTAACGCCTATCACGAGAAGGCAGTGAGTAAGAATTCCCTGGAAGGAGCAATATACTCATAACCATATTAGAACATTTCAAAGAGGGCAGACTTTTCTCAATCTCAGTCATACTAAGACCTTTCTTATTGTGATGTTTTCGTAAACACTTTCCTTAATGCTGTACTTCAAAGAGATCACACGCTCTACGTATTCTTCACCATCGGTTGTCTTTTGAAACTATATTCCCATTACTAACCTACATAATTTGACGCTTAACTCATTTCGGGGTTATGAAGATTGTTGCGTTACTCATTGAAATCATCAATTGATCAATGTTAGATCACCATTAGAAACCTGAAATTACTGGATGGCCGTTTCGTCCTGGTATGGGACTCATCAATGACAGTGCGCATACATGACTCCTACACCTCGCAGGATTCGAACCCTGGATCTTTGGTTTAATTCATTTGTGAATCTGTTATCAATGTTATCTACTGGTCTTTTGCTTACACGATCCAATTATTATCACATTTTGACTTGTTGCCATATTCGAGTTATTGATCGATTGCATATTTAATCAATCGCTGCAAAACTCCTTGTTTTTTTATGAATGTGTCGTCTCTTGATGTATAATTTATTGCATTGTGATCTCAAAAAGTGCACATGTCTGTTGTATAACACATATATATATCGATTATTAACTTGCAAAATGTTAACATGAATTTACGAATTAGGTAAACACTTGCTGCATTAAAATTCTGGTATTTTTGCAAATCACAATGTATTTGTATGCTAAAGGTGTATCAACAACATCTATAATGTCAATAACGATTAAGTTATGCTGGTATTGTAGTCGTCTGATTGTATGGTGTGTGTGTGTGTTAGTTTCTTTCCAAAAATAAAAGAAGTAGCTATCTGTTGGGGACGTTAGATTCCCAGAACTCACTTTGTTAGGTCCTGATTTTTTAATTTATTGCTGAAATTTTGATTTTTTATGTTTTCACGCCAGTGAACCTTCAGCTTACATTTCCCACTCGGAAAGTCCTTGACTGTCATTGGTTGATGGATTATTTTAGTATGCTATTTTGTGACTCTCACCAAGGGTGTTTCTATCATTGTATTATTAAGCTTGATTTGTGTGCTTAGACACCTTATATTTTCTGGGTGCCTGTAGAACACATTCTCTACATCGTGATCTAGTTGGCAGGGCATGGGAAAATCAGATTAGAATAGCCTATCGTGTCACTGTATCGTTGACCTTCGCTTCGTTTACCGAGTAAGGTGAACTCGTAATAGTTTCGAGCACATTCAATTGGCTAGCATATCATTATCAGATTATAATAAAAGAATTATAGTGTTGACGTTGTAAGAATGTAATATTCACTGTTCACTGATTATCATTTAATTTGTTTTGTTGAAATGGATGAAGTTTTTTTTGCAATTCAATAAAGTAACCATCAAGAACTATCAGTCATTTTTGGAGTCAGTCAGTCAGTCAGTCAACAACTTAGAACTTGGTACGTACGCGTACATCAGTTCAAGTTGCCATACCACATTAGCACATAGATGCAATTGTTGATTCGAATCCCATAGTGGTAGATGTAGTGAAAGTATGAGTAGTGATCGGAAAGATTAGGGTTCGATGATATTATTCCGATTATTACTGTATTGCCTGGAACATATGTTCTTTCAGGTTCTACCATGCCAGGCAGGTCGATTAGCGAACGGTAAAACCAGAAGTAACAAATTAAGTTCTGAATGCAGTCTTACTGCTATATATAGAGGGGTGTGACAACAGTAAGGTGTTTCCCTTGGTCAATCAACATCTGCAGCCATGGTGCCTTCTCGCAAGCGAGGAAAGGTCTAGAAAAGTCCAACCCAAAAAATGTCACACTTCACCTTATCGAACGAATATCCGTTTCCGGCTGTAAGGCCTCAAGCAGCTGTCCTTTAGGCTCCGCGGTCACTCTTCCAGGTCGTTACGATCAACACTACTCCAACTTCCTTGTCAGATTCATCAAGAAATATCCTTCCACGGTGTTGGCAGTCGCTAAAAGACATCCGCCCTCATACCTGTAACAGCATACTGGACCAAATTAGTTACATTTTTGGCGAGTATCAATAGGAAACTGATTCTCTCTTTCTGGAGCACCACTTTCAGACTCCGATCATATCGTTTTACTCAATGCATACTCCTCTATATCTTACCAAACACAATAGAGAGTATATATCTCACAGAATAGACTTGAAGCTGAAACTGTAAAGAGTATATGAAAAAGGATCAGTTGTGAAAAGGGGGACATTTGTCTTCACTAATTAAGCGATATTTCTTTTTATTGTCATTTAATCAACATGTAATCTTTAAAATGGATTATTTTTATTTCTATTTTTTAGGTATTCGTTTAAATCGATTTCATATTGAAACAATGGAGGCAATATTTCAACGTGCACATTTCAGAGTAATCGATTTAGAAAATACATTTTTAGACGAACAGGTGACTTGATTTTATTATTTTTTGTTTTCTGCTTCAGTGATTATTTTTTTTTACCTTAAAAACAAATATTCTATGATATACTTTAAGAGTAACATAATTTAAATATTTATGCATAAGTTTATATGTTGTTTATAACCTATCATCATCCAGCTTATATACATTTTGATTCATATGCTCAATATCATTTAAATCGTCAATCTATTGATTAGTAGAGGAGATATAGAGTAATGTGATGTAAAAAAAAGAGAGATGTTAGCAGTCTTTTACCAGTTGGACTATGTAAAATAACTTGAAGAATGTGTGTGTGTGTGCTTGTGTGCAACAAGTTTCCGAGAAATATAAAAATAATAGTTAACAAAGCAATAATTCTATGTGAATATGTACTAGGTTAAACTAGTGCTTCCTGACCGTAGCTGCTACCTTGACGTGGTGGTCGGGCTTGCCTATCGTGATGACCGAACCGAGCTATATTGGCCGGAATGTATGTTCCTGAAGGTTCTGCTATGCCAGGCAGGTCGATTGGAGAACGATGAGACTAAAAACAGCTACTGAAGGTCTGAGAGCGAAGTCGTGCTGCTGACTGCAGAGGGCTGTGACAGTAGTAAGATGTTTCATTCGGACAACCAGTATCTCAGCAATGCTGCCTTCTGACACGGAAGGAAGTGTTAGAAAAGGTCGACCGTAAAAATGTCACATCTCACCCTACCTCACGGATTTCCGTCTCCGGCTGTGAGGCCTTTCAAACAAGAACGGAGCTAACACTTTAAAAACTTCTCATAAAAAGGCTATGCGTGACCGGCCTGGACTCTGCGGTCACGCTTCCAGGTCTCTAAGACCAACTCTAATCTACGCTCCTTTTTAGGTCCCTCTAGAAACATCCAGCCACGTTGTGGGCAGTCGGGAAGTGACATCTGCCCTCATACCAGTGCCAGAACCCCAGACCAAATTGATTACAATCAAATCCTTCCTACACCTCTAAACTATCCCTTTAACAATCATTTATTTGAACTTTTATATTCTTCCATGTATTCAAATTAGAAATACAGTTAATCTAATTCACAGTCAACTTGGTTAACCGTTATCTCTTAAGTTGACTTATTTAAGATGTGTCTCAACGATTTCCTCTAGTTTGGGCGAATTTTAATAACTTGTCAATAAATATACTCTATCTGAGATGTGTTTCTGACTTAATTGTTTGACTAATATTTCTAGTGTTTTATAGTATCCAACTTCCAACTTCGATATCATACTAATTAGATAGATATTAGAATATTTACTAACTCATCATAGTAAGGCTGATTCAACTTCACCAAAAACGTTTTATTCTTTAAAACAAAAGCGTGTGGTAGACCAAACGATATATATTATTTCAAAATATTAACAAAGTTATTGAATACAAACAGATGTATAGCGAAATATATCAGTTAAATGTAATAAACACAATAAAAATGTAGGGACGGTACTTTATACGGCTGCTTGTACGTGTTCACTTGTGTTTCGTACTATAAATCCACAATTATAGAAATGTTAATAATCCAAGTGGTATAACTATCCGTAGAGTAGCATATACGTATGACTGCAGTCTATAAATGTAGATAATATACGTATTAGAATCCAGTTATCGCATTAATGAACAATTGAGAACATGAGACGTGCGTATAAACTGTGTATTTGATAGGATCAGGCATTGAGTGCCGTGCTATGTGTACACAGAACGGAAACATGGAGCAGTTAAAGCGCCTAATATATTCAAGGATACACACTTAAACAAAAAATGTACAACAATTTCATAGTGAATGTACAAGCTGTGAAAATTAACCGGATAAATACAAATAGTATCAAAAACTATTTACAAAATAAGTTTGTCATGCCATTTCCACAAGCGTATCATGTAATTTTAAATACATCATAGGCTTATGCTTGTTGATCAGTGGAAAATTATTCAACTAACTGCTTCTTGATACGACGTATTTCATCAATCTATATTGGACAATAATATCATCCATTGAATTGTTGAACAATGAATATCCTTGATAAAAATACTGTCTCTTTAATTTAACTTACTCTAATAACTTGTTTCAACTTGTGCAATACAAATAAATGCTCATGTTGCATTATTGAACAAGTTGTGTACACATTTGTGTAAGTGTTGATTGAACATATTCACATTCGCAATGTTACTTTGTTGTTTGTATTATTATGACTAATTTCGTTCTTTTTTTTATTTTGTTCACGTCTCTTTTATTTTTTTTCATTCATTTATTCATTCATTCTAGTCGGCTTCATCATTATTTGATATGTTGTTGCATTATGAAAGTTGTACAGATTTAAGTATCAGTTTAAATTTAAACAAAACTCTTCCTAGTCAAGCATGGAATCGTTGTGTTAATTTCATGCGTAAAGTACGTGTTTTTTTTAATCTTTAATTGATTGATTGATTGATTGACTGTGATTTGATGTTTTACATATTATCTGCTTTTTTGTAGTACAACTAAAAAGGTAACTATGTCAAAGCTTGAAAGTGTATTGATTACTATTTTATAGAGAATTATGTATATATATGTTTGAAATCATGAATCGATCGAAGTTAGACACCAGCATTAGAAACCTGGAAGCACTGAACGGCCGTTTCGCCCTGGTATGGGACTCATCAGTGGCAGTGCGCAGGATTCGAACCTAAGACCTTCGGTCTTGTGCGCGAACGCCTAACCTCTGGAACACTGAGTCAGTATCTAACGATGCTAATGTCTAACTTTGATCAATTCACGGAGTTGCGCAACCTCATACACTATCTTCGGTAGTTATTGTCTACACCCGAACAGGTTGAACTTCACTGGTTACGACTTCCCACTAGAACTCGGAGCCAGTCACTAGTGAGGAATTAAATTACGGGGTTGTGAAGATTGTTAAGTTATACATTTGAAATGATCAATCGATAAACATATATATACTGCCGAATTTGTGTAGTAGATGATAATTGTATACGTATCTGTTCAATTTTCAATTCCATAGACAATTAAGTATTACTGAAGGATGAGAAGTGCTTACTCACTCTATCAAGTGGTTCTCATGCAGTCGCGGTTATGTAGATTCTTCCGGAAAGATTCAATTAGAGAAGTGTTATTTTTTAGGGTTGAACGAGTGAAACGGACCGTTCAGTGCTTAAAATGAGTTGGTAGAGGTGGAGACTTTAACTTCAAGAGTAGATTAATACAAATTACAAACTGATTGTGCGTGTAGACTGCAGAATCTTGAGAAAACAAATAACGTTCAAATATACTGAAGTTACTGTAAATCTTGAGATGGTGAAGAAAATTTCTAGCCTTGGTGGGTATATTGATACATACAAACAACTAGGAATAGAGTGAATACAAAGAACACTAAAAATTTTTTAGAAGCTTGGTACTCAAGTCAGTCAACAAACACAACGACATTGACCAAATTTATCAACCAATCAGAAAAATCATTGACAAACATAAGATCAAGAAACAGACCAAAAGGAGATACAATCAAAATGAAGGTGTAGATAATGTCAGGTTTAAGGTCAATAACAACCAATCACATTCGAGATGAATAGGACAAGCTATGAGTCATATGCGGAGAAATTTGAATACTTCACTTCTGTTATCTGAAGTTTGTGCTGATGATGTTGTTCAAACCAATAAGGAAAGCTCCTCAACGAAAATATCTAGCTCAGAGAACGAAACTCCACCACAATTATTGTAAATCGTTTGCAATGGCACAGATGCATCCATTCTTTGTCTTCTCGCAAATTCTAATGTTCTGAATTCCTCATCACCTTTTTTCTCTATTTAAATTTATTTCACTGGATTATACTTCTTGAATCATATCTTCGCCCCCTAATCTTTTCCATTACCGTTAATACTACTATAACCTCTACCACTATGAGATTTGAATTGACAATGCCATCTTTCCGTGCTAATATGGTATGGCAACTTGAACTGACGTACGTACGCACGAAGTTCTACTTTTTAACTGACGGACTGCATAGTTTCACTGCTGAATCATCTTTATCAGTGTGATATCGAATTCATATTATAATTGACTGATCACTGAATTGTCGTGACCAGTGTCATGTTTGTCTCAATCATTTAGTCCTAGTCGAATCCCGTTGACCAAGTGACATATTGCTAGGATATTCATCCAATATCCTAATAGAATCATGGTCAATTCCTACTGGTCAATTTTATGGTCGTCCTAGATATCAATATCACGTGCTCCAATGTTGTTTCTTATTGGTTGTCCTGACTATCAATGTCACCTCAAATGTTGCTTCCTATTGGTCGTCTTAACTGTCAATGTTACAAACTTTGATTCTGTTTCCTATTCGACCAAAATGTATAAATACGTATTATCTGTAACGTTTTAGGACCAGGACCAGGACTCCGTCCCGGATCCCTAGTCCGGGATCCTGATTCTCTTCTGGACTCGGACCTCGTACTTTCTAGATGCTTGTAGAATACAGGTTCAACTTCATATCATGTCTTCTTATTTTTACTCAATATGGGGGTTGGGACAATCGGATTAGAGTAGTAGCATGTCGTGTCGCCGGATCCTCGATCCTCGCTCTCGCGTTTCCGACTAGGCGTAACACATATATGATTATTAGTCTAAATAAGCCTAACATTGTATGCACTATATAAATCCTCTTCACTTATTACAATCCCTTAACAATTTGTATTCACATTGAAGAGAATAAGATCAAAATATTTAGACAGAATAACATAAATTCATTTTAGTGCTCATCAGCTAGTTGAAATTTCAAAATTAATCACAAAATAGGCTCGAATTTCTTACATTTTTTTTAAAGTTTATTATCAGCGTTCATTCATTCATTCATTACGTAACCACTTGTTTCTAGCTCTATTAAAAAAAACAAACTATTTAGGTTGTAGAATTTTGACAATAAATATTTATATTGAATAAAATACAATTACAATAGTATACCTGATATATGATCATGTCAACTTCGAATTCAAACTTTCATGTCAGTAATTTGAGCCTATTTTTTAAATGATATTTCCGATGTTATAAGAAATTGTAAAGCAGCTGACATAAAATTGAATGAATTCATCTTGTTCGTATACAAAAGTTATTTGCAGCCATTTCTTTTTTCTTGGTAGAGTTTCGTTCTCTGAGCTAGATGTTTTAGTTATGGGAGCATTCCGTATTCTTCTGTTGAACAATATCATCAACCAGAACAAACTTCCGGTCACGAAGTTGAAGTATTCGAAGTGTTCCACGTTTAACCTGTAACTTGTTCTGTTGACCTCGGTTGTGATTGGTTGTGATTGACCTTAAACCAGTTTTTTTTTGATCCAATATCTGTATGGAGCGGAAACTTGGCGAACTACGAAAGCCATCATCCAGAAGATACTAGTGTTTATGAACAGTTGTCTACGCAAAATACTTCGGATTCGTTGGCCAGAAACTATCAACAACAACATACTGTGGGAGAAAACAAGCCAGATTCCATTGGAGGAGGAAATCAGGAAGAAGCGGTGGAAGTGGATAGGACACACACTACGAAAAGCACCTAACTGCATCACGAGACAAGCCCTCACATGGAACCCTCAAGGTGAAAGGAAAAGAGGAAGGCCAAGGAACACATTACGCCGAGAAATAGAGAAAGATATGAGAGGAATGAACAAACATTGGACAGAACTGGAGAGGGAAGCCCAGGACAGACAGAGTTGGTTGGCGAAAAATAGTGGGCGGCCTATGCTCCATTGGGGGGGAGTAACAGGCGTAAGTAAGTAAGTAAGTAAGTAATTGACCGATGATTTTTCTGATTGGTGGTTGATGAAAGCCTCACAACCAAAACATCCTGTTTCGTCACAATCAGTCTATCTGAGCTACATATTTTCACTCCACCATATATCAAAAGATTTTTTTTCGTTTATATATAATTATTGTGAATAATTCATTTGGATAATCATTTATTTTTTCTCTGATTTCTTTGTTTTTTTTTATTTTTATACTCATTTACATTCACATAGTCATCGGCTTTACGTCGTTTCACTTTAAGTCATACACCATTACGTTTGGAAAATTTTTATGGTTTAAGTTTTTATGGTCTATGCTTGGAACGTTTACATTTTATTGATTGTAATTTAACTGGTCAAACATTATGTGGACTTATGCAATGGTTGTATATCCTTTTAAGTTCCACAAGTTTATATCCAACATCAACAACACGTGATCGATTGAATCATTCTAGTGGAGGGCATAATAATAAAGTTCGTAATTGGCGACATCGAAATCGATCATATTCCACTACGACGACGACTAGTACTAGTACTACTTCAGCATTGGATTTATCAACTACTACAAATACTACTACTAATAATAAGGATACTACTAAACCTTCTATATGGGAATTAAAATTAGGTTTAATGAATAATAAATTAATTAGTTCAGATGTTGAAGCACTCATACCTGTAATTCGTCATCAATTATTAATTCCAAGAATTGATAAATCTGCAACGGTCCAATTAGATGAAGGTTATCATGATCATAATCAAAATCATAATCACGATAATAATGATAACGAAAATAATTCATCCGATATACTTGTCAGCAAGAATTCACAAATGAAATCTATACCATTCAAAAAATCCATCTCAATGTCATCATCATCATCATCATCACCGTTGTGTGATGGTGATTGTCTTCCAGTTGGTGGGATTGGTTATTTATCTGAATTGAATTTATCGCATAATAATATTGGTGTAAGTTATTTTGTTTATAATAAAAGAAAATATATTTAGTGAGTTTAGTTTGGTTGTTTTATTATTATTTTTTTAATTGAAAGATTATCTTTTGCATTAGTGGTTTCACTTGACACTGCAGTAAATTTCCGTTTGCTAGTGTTAGGATATTCATCCAATATCATAAGAGAATTATTGGTCGATTCCTATTGGTTAATTCTTACTGGTCAATTTTATAGTCGTCCTAGATATCAATTTCATGTACTCCAATGTTGTTTCTTATTGGTCGACTTAACTGTCTATGTCACAGACTTTGATACTGTTTCCTATTCGACGGAACTCTTTCTCTTTCTAAAGTTACCTCAGTTATACTTCATGAATAATATATTCGACCGTAATTTTCTCTATTACCACTTATACTTCTACTATCTTTACCACTATAGGATTTGAAGTCACTATGTCGTCTCTTAGCTAATGTAGTATGACAACCTGAAATTATGTACGTGCTTACGAAGTACTACGTTGTAGCTGACTGACTGACCTTGGATTTTAATTTAATTTGTTGAAAAGGCATCGTAAATTGTCAACAGTTTTGAATTTAAAATAAAAACACTATCTTCTCTGACTTTGGAAATGAGTGAAAACATGTGCAAAGGTGAATTAATTTACGACATGATGATGATCCTACAATGAATTCTTCTATGAGGACTTGATGTTTATTGCTCTGTCACTATTACTGTCTAACTGAAGTTCTAACTACCATGCAATCTCTAGTGCGTTGAGATGTTATCAGATTTAACTTAAAATCGAATCTGAAAGATATTTTTTATGTACAGTTTTCTGTTATATTCATTCATTAAGCTGAGTAGATTTCCTATACTGAAGAAAATGTATTTTGGTTTTTAACTTGAAACTGAAATATATATATGTATATCATGTTATTAAATCCTTATATTTTACTTCATTTATTCCATTGATCAATGTTTAACCTTTCCATTTTCATATATCCTCTCTAATAATCATATCATCGGTACATATAATGTGTATATGTGTGTGATGTAGCCTTTGGTTGCCCTTTCTTTATGACATTTTATTAAGATTCTGTCAAATAGTAAAGATGTATCAATAGTGTAGTGAAGCGTTGATCACCTTGAATGTTGTAAAATCTCTGAGGTCATGGATATGTTGTGCTTTATAAAAAGTACATCTGCATGTTATACATTTTTTTTATAACATTTCTGTTTCATTCTTCAGTTAGTTACAGTTATATATATGTGAGGGATGTAAGTCTTGGTTTTTCATATATTGTTTTTAGTTGTCAATTAGTCAGTTAGCTACAATGTAGAACTTTGTACGTACTTACATAAGTTCATGTTACCATACCACATTAGCACAGAGATATATAATTGTCGATTGAATTCCCAAAGTAGTAGAGGTAGTAAAGGTATTGGCAGTAATTGGAGAGATTAGGGTTCGAAGACATTATTCGAGAGGTAGAATCTAGTGAAATAAACTTAAAAAGAAAACGATGAAGGTTAGGATTTGAGAGAACACAAAGAATGAATGCACCTGCACCATTGCAAACGATTTTGAGCCATGTCATTCAACCTCTCTAACCATTGATTACTATCATGTCACGCGCCCCAACCAGATAGTCTACACCTACCAACATGACTCAGTCCACTTGTCAATGACTTCATAGATTTGTGCCATATTTTGGTCTGGCCGTCCCTAGCATTCTTCCAACTTACTCTTACACCACAAAAAATAGGTCGACTAGGCAGTCGGTGGTTTGGTATTCATAACACATGTCCCAACCATCTCAACTGATGAAGTTTCAATACTTCATCTATTGATCTGCTATTCTCACCTAGTACCCGTTTCCCAACGGCAGCATAGCTTACTCGGTTGTCCTTGGATGTACGAGCAATGCTTTGGAGACACCTATGATCTAAAACCAATAACCTACAAATATCTTCTACTCTGACTAGTCATGTTTTGTATTCATATAGTAGGACTTGACGTTTCAAGAGTTTATCTTCTATCTGTAGACTCTAATATATCTTAAGGATTAATACAACACAAACAGGCGTTTTACAAACCCCTACTTCAAGATAATTCCAGTAAGGTATTATATTACAATCTACTCCGTATTACTTTATAACTGCAGCTTACAATCATTGTAGTAATTAGATTAGTTGTGAATACTTAACTGTAAACGTTTTCAAGTCTCTGCCAGTTTATTGTTAAAACCATCAATTGGTTGACAGAAAGCTTAATTGTGTAGCACTATGTAGAAATCAAGCTACATGCTTTCATTAAGTTAGCTTACTCGAACACATATTACCTATATGAAGTTGAGAAAGCGTTAGGAAATCTGAAACGAGGACAAGCTGCAGGTCCTGATAGACTTACCCCTGAGATATTTAAGGATGGAGGTCCAGTTTTATCAGCTAGGTTGACTGAGATCTTAGGTAGAATCTGGGAACTGGACGCAATCCCATCCGACTGGTCTCAATCCTTGATTGTCCCAATCTATAAGAAAGGACAGAAGTCTTCTTGTGACAATCACAGGGGAATAAGCCTAACTAACATAGTATCTAAAATATTGGCCTCAATAATACTTCGACGCTTAACGAAAGCTCGTGAAGAGCAAACTCGGGAAAACCAATCTGGTTTTCGACCTGGACGTGGCTGTATAGACCACATTTTCACACTACGACAGGTCCTGGAACACAGACACACATTTAGGCGTCCTACAATAGTTGTTTTCCTGGACCTTAAGGCGGCATTTGACTCAGTGGATCGTGAGGTTCTGTGGCAGTGTCTGTCATTGAAAGGTGTACCACAGAAGTACATTAACCTTATACAAGCCCTATACTCGAACACCACTGGTCGAGTGAGGGCTTATGGCGAACTGTCACCGGAATTCTCTACATCAAGTGGTGTCCGTCAGGGATGTCCACTTTCTCCATTCTTGTTCAATTTTATCATAGACATGCTCCTAGAACTTACCTTATCCTCGTCTGAATTTTCAGGAGTAGACCTTTTACCAGGTGGCTCGCTTGTTGACTTAGAATATGCCGATGACATTGTCCTACTTGGTGAAGACGCTGAAAAAATGCAGAGTCTTCTGACTACCCTAAGCAACAATGCAAGCATGTTCGGGATGCGGTTTTCCCCCTCGTAATGCAAAATGTTGCTTCAAGACTGGGTGTCATCGGCACCTGAACTAGTGATAGGGAGTGAAGTGGTCGAACGTGTAGACCGCTTCACCTATCTTGGGAGTCTCATCAGTGCTGATGGCCTGGTGACTGACGAAATCTCGGCACGGATACAGAAGGCTCGATTGGCTTTTGCCAACCTGCGTCACTTATGGCGTAGGCGAGATATCCGTTTGCTGACTAAAGGACGAGTGTACTGCGCAGTGGTTCGCTCCGTCTTACTTTATGGCTGTGAAACATGGCCAGTGAGAGTAGAAGATATTCGTAGGTTACTGGTTTTCGATCATAGGTGTCTTCGAAGCATTGCTCGTATATCGTGGGACACCTGAGTGAGCAACGCTGTTATTAGGAAACGGGTACTAGGTAAGAATGGCAGATCAATCGATGAAGTGGTGAAACTTCATCGGTTGAGGTGGTTGGGACACGTGTTGCGTATGCCTAACCACCGACTGCCTCGTCGAGCTTTGTTTTGTGGTGTAGGAATAGGTTGGAAGAAAGTTAGGGGCGGTCAAACCAAAACATGGCATAAATCCATGAAGTCATTGACGAGTGGACTTAGCCATGTCGGTAATTGTCGACTACCTGGTTGGGGTCCGCGAGATGATAATAATCGATGGTTAGAGACCTTGAATGACATGGCTCAAAATCGTTCGCAATGGCGCCAGTGCATTTATTCTTTGTGTTCTCTCAAATCCTAATCTTCTGAGTTCTTCAACACCTCTAGCTTTTACTTTCTAAACTTATCTCATTGAATCACACTTCGTGAATAATATCTTCTAATTCTAACGTCTACGATTACTTCTAATACCTTTACTACCTCTTCTACTATTGGATTTGAATTGACAATTATATCTCTGTGCTGATGTGGTATGGCGACATGAACTGATGTACTTACGTACGAAGTTCTACGTTGCAACTGACTGACTGACTGACATATTACCTATATCTGACCAGTACCTTGACATACTTTACTAGTTAGTGTTGGAATAGATTGTAAACAGACCAAAGTTAGTTTAATCTAACAAAGAACTATTCTTGTAAACTAAATTAACAACTGAGTTGTTTACAGATTGATTCCGTAAGATTTTGCACTGAAATCATGAATCAATCATTTTTAGACTACTATTTGACACTAGGAAACACTGGAAGGTCGTTTCGTCCTAGTATGGGACTCTTCGTCAGTTCGCATCCATGACCTTTGGTCTCGCGCGCGAACCCCTAACCTCTAGACCACTAAGTTGTCATCCAATGTCTAATTTTGGTCAATCTAAGTTTTTTTCAACTTCATTCATTGTCTTCATTAGTTACTGTCTATACCTGACAACTCCAAGAACTTTCTCACGAAACAAGTCACTAGTAAGCATATTTTATGATTTTTTATTGTCGAGTTCTGCAGATTTTTGTTTTACACTGAATTCATAGATCAATCATGATTGTTAAAAGAGATTAGCGACCTTTATATTGTTGGGGATGTTAGATCCCCAAAACTCGCTTGATAAATGCCTTATTTCGGATTTCACGTTTGGGCTGATAAGTTGACCCTGACATTTCATTTCCCACCCCAGGAAAATCCATGGCTGTGATTGGCTGCTGTGTATTTTAGTGTGTTATTTTTGTGACTGTCCCAAGGTCGTTTCTATGATGTATAAATAACCGAGAGTTGTGTGCTTGATTGTAATGTGATTGCTGGATGTTTGTAGAATATACTTTCTATGCTTACCAAGACTTCTGTTTTACAGCTTGGGATTCAAGGTAGCCTATCTGGACGCTGGTAATTGTCTCGTTCGCGTATATCGACTAAGGTGAACTCATAATAGCTTCAAGCGTACCTAGTGACAAACCCTACATATATCGAAGGCAAACAGTGTATTTAAGATTAAGAAAAAATCACTACTGAGTTTCAATTATTCAGATGAAATTACACTTAGGAAGGATATGATTCTATATATAAACAAGAACGAATAATGGAATTGCTCAATAAAAATACAAGAATATGAAGTAATAAGAATTGAAGTCATAGTAACAAAACTAATTGTACAATGTGTTTCTCTATACATACAGATTTAGGTTGTTTTTTTCGTGATTATGGTACAGCGAACCACCACATTTCCATGAAAAGTAGATTTATTTGTTCATTTGTCGGTAGATTGATTATTCATGACTAGTGGACTGAGTCATGTTGGTAGATGTAGACTACCTGGTTGGGGTGCGCGAGACGAAAGTCACCAATGGTTAGAGACCTTGAATGACATGGCTCAAAATCGTTTGCATTGGCTCAAGTGCATCCATTCTTTGAGCTCTCTCAAATCCTAATCTTCTGTATTCGTCAGCACCTCTACCCCTTTGTCTCTCTAACCTTATCTCATCGAATTATACTTCTTGAATAATATCTTCAAACCCTAGTCTTCTTCATTATCATTAATACTTCTACTATCTTTATCACTATGGGATTTGATTTGACATTTACGTCTCTGTACTAATGTGATGGTATGGCAACATGAACTTATGTACACACGTACGAAGTTCTACGTTGCAACTGACTCATTTTGAATATTCCAACAGTCAACTCATGTGTTGTTTTAAATTAATAGAAGATTAAACAATTGTACATTGAATTTCTACTACGGTATTTTAGAATCTATTGTTTAACACGTCGAAAAAAAAACGCATGTACTTTATTAGTAGAAGAAAGAAAATCACTTTTTTTTGGCTCAATTATCATATGTGTTCACTCATCTATCTATTGTTGATTGAATAATGTTAATTTAATGTATTCATTTATTTGCATTGTATATTGAATCATGAATATCACTTTATTCTCATTGTTAATATGTTTGTTTTAATATTTATATATATATATCTAGGATGATGGTTTAAATATACTATGTACTGGATTACTTCAGTCGTATCGAAATCGTTTACGTGAACGTTTCTCTGCTACATTATTAAATGATCAAGAAATTCTTGACTTAACAACAACCATGTCAACAACATCAACATCATCGATTGAAAATTCCACTGCTGATTGTACACATACACAATCAATACCAATGAAAATTTACAGTTTAGAACGTCTTTATCTTATTGATAATAATTTAAGCTTACATGGTATGCAATCATTGGCTATTGTATTAATGCAAACACCAAAATCATTAGTTTCTATAATTGGTGGTTTAATCAGTTTAGATTTAAGTAATAATCCGAATATTGGTGATAAAGGTGTGGAATTATTATGTGAAGGTTTAATTAGAAATGCTAGTTTAAAAGAATTATATCTTCGTTGTATTAATATGTCTTTTCCAGGTAAGTTCAATATTTTCCTAATTGTAATAATCTTTTTCTGTTTTTTTTCAATTGTAAAATAAATTTTAAATACAACTCATTCAAAAAAAATGTGTAGTTGGAAGAAAACTAGTTGCGGCCAAATCAAAATATGGCACAAATTCAATGAAGTCACTGACGAGTGGATTGAGTTATGTTGGTAGATGTAGGCTACCTTGGTTGGGGCCGGCGACATGATAGTAATCGATGGTTAGAAACTGGTATGTTCATCACTAGGTACGCTTGAAGCTATTACGAGTTCACCTTAGTCGATAAACGCGAATGAGACAATGAACCAGCGTCCAGGTAGGCTACCTTGAATCACAAGCTGAAGTAAGAAGGCTTTGTAAGCGTAGAAAGTATATTCTACAACACCCAACAATCACATTACAATCGAGCACACAACTCTCGTTTATTTATACATCATAGAGACGTCCTTGGGACAGTTATGAAAATAGCACACTAAAATACACAGCAGCCAATCACAGCCATGGATTTTCGTGGTGGGAAATGAAATCTCAAGGTCAATTGATCAGCCCATGCTGGCAAACGTGAAATCCGAAATAAGGCATTTATGAAGCGAGTTTTGGGGATCTAACATCCCCAACAGAAACCTTGAATGACATGGCTCAAAATCGTTTGCAATGGCGCAGGTGCATTCATTCTGTGTGTTCTCTCAAATCCTAATCCTCTAGATTCTTCATCACCTTTATCTTTTTTCTTTTTAAGTTTATTTCACTACATTCTACTTCTTGAATAATATCTTTCAACCCTAATCTCTCCGACTATTGCTAATACTTCAACTACATTTACTACCATGGAACTTGAAGTGACAATTGCGTCTCTGTGCTAATGTGGTATGGCAACTTGAATGCTGATGTACGTACGTACGATGTTCTATGCTGTTGTTGTTGATTAACTGACTGACTGACTGTAGTTGGATTATGTTTCGCATATTGTTGTGTCTCATGTATGGAGAGATATACACTTATCGATTGCTTCAATCAGAAATTTTCTTACTCATTTGCTAGTAAGCGTTAAATGTTCAATCAATAAATTAGTTGATCACAGCTAAATGTAAAATGTAACTTTTGTAAATAAGGAATTCTTTATATTTTATCGCCAGTATGAGTACTTCTTTTCACTTCTAATTCATATTTCTTTGTATGAGAGTCCACTTTTCCTATCTTGGTTTTCCAAATTGAAATTGTTACAAATCTTACTTCTGAACCACAACTTCATAGTGTAATTTTAATGTTTATCAGTGTAATGTAATCATGAAAATTAATCTATGTGTGTAGGTATTATGAAATGATAAGTAAGTATTCAGTAGACTGTAAATCTGGAAGCTGAATTTAAAAGTACCTCTTTTAGATACTTTCTACTTTTGAAAGTTTTTTTTTTCAAATTATCTTTTATAATGAATAAATAGATGACATAAACACACATTTTTGTCACAATGGAAAACCAATTTTCCATTGCTCGTACTCTCGAAACAGTACTAAAGATGTTCGGGACGTTAGATACACAGAACTCACTTGGAAAAGGTCTTAATTTTGGATTCTTTGTGTTTTCGCACATACGCTGCTCGGTTGACCTTCAGCTTATATTTTGCACCCGGAAATCCTTGACTGTCATTGGTTGATAGATTATTTTAGTACGCTATTTTGTGACTCTCCCAAGGACGTTCCTTTCAGCTGTAAATAAGCTCGATTTGTGTGCTTGTCGATCTCGTTTTTCTGGGTGCTTCTAAGAAAATACACTTTCTACGCCATATCAAGACTTCTTGTTATAGTTAACCGGGCCTGGGACAAACGGATTAGAATAGCTTCATTTGTCTTCGCTCTAGTTTACCAAGTAAGGTGAACTCGTAATAGTTCAAGCATTCAATTGACTCACTGGATAAATTACTATTTTTCTACTCACCTGACACACAGATCGGATTTTTGTACTTAATTCTAATCAAATATGTCTGTCTTCGCTCATTGACCGATCCAGTGCTTATTTTGTCCAACCTGTCAGTGTCATGTCATCAATCCTATTTACTTATTTTAAAGAATACACATTTGAATATTCACTTTTATCTCACTTGATTGTTGCGTGATTTAGAATTGAATCTAACTTGTATTCCAAAGAAATTGAACCTTATTTACTGCATAACTATCTTTTTTTATCTTAAAAAATTAAAAGGTTTGTTTTTTTTTACATTATGAATAGAGTTCATTAGTAAATGATGCGTTTTTTTGTAAATACTGAAAATGTGATTGTTGAAGCGTACTCCAAGTTAAAGAAGAGAAAAGCTTAATTTCTTCTATGTAATACGTTCATTAGATTGAATTCAATTATTTTGCGGTTTACCAGTCTTTATTGGTGCTTAGTTAATCTCTCAATAACAATTAACCAAGTTATATTATTTGAAATTTATCAAATAGTTCTTCTTGGCAATTTTTTTTGTTCTATCAGATATAGTCAGTCAGCTGCAAGGTCGAACTTTGTACGTAAGTGTACATCAGTTCATGTTGTGTCATACCACATTAGCACAGAGATTCAGTTGTCAATTCAAATCCCATAGTGGTAGAGAGAGTAAGAGTACTACTGGCAATAGACAAGATTAAGATTCGAAGATATTATTCATGAAGTTTAGAAAGACAAGTGTAGAGTCGTTGACGAATCCAGAAGTTTAGGATTTGAGAGAGCACAAAGAGTGGACGCACCAGCGTCATTACAAACGATTTTGAGCCGCGTCATTCAACGTCTCTAACCATCGGTTACTATCGTCTCCCGGACCCCAACTAGGTAGTCTACATCTACCAACATGACCCAGTCCACTTGTCAGTGACTTCATGAATTTGTGCCATGTTTTAGTCTGGCCGCCCCTAACTTTCTTCGAGCTTAACCTACACCACAAAACTTTGCTCGTCAAGTCAGTCGGTGGTTAGGCATTCTTAACACATGCCCTAACCATCTCAACTGATGAAGTTTCACTACTTCATCTATTGGTCTGCCATCCTTACCTAGCACCCGTTTCCTAACAACAGCATTGCTTACTCCGTTGTCCCAGGATACATGAGCAATGTTTCTAAGACATCTATGATCAAATACTAGTAACCTACGAATATCTTCTACTCTCACTGGCCATGTTTCTCAACCATATAGGAGAAAGGGATGAACTACTGCGCAGTACACTCGTTCTTTAGTCAGCAAACGGATATCTCTTTACGACATAAATGACGTAAATTGGTATAAGCCAATCGAGCCTTCTGTATCCGTGCTGAGATTTCATCACACACCAGACCATCAGCGCTGATGAGACTCCCCAGGTAAGTGAAGCGGTTAACACGCTCAACTGCTTCACTCCTTATCACAAATTCAGGTACCGATGAAACCTACTCTTGAAGCAATCAGATATATATATCTGTTTTGTCTGTTTGCTAACTAAATTAAGAAACGAAAGTTTTGTTATACTGCTTCATTGTAAATGTAAATGAATCATATGATAGTCAATCATTTTCAACATCATACCGAAATTAGTTGCTTTTGTCATTACACCGAAGTTACATACTTTTTTTTTCTAAAAAAATTTATTTACAAATATTTCAAGATTTATTCTTCAAAAATTACATGGTATAATATTATTTGATTTGAAAATTTAAAAAAAAAATGAATATGTATCGATTAGACGATTGAATATTGAAATGAAAGATTTTGTTTTAATTCCAATCCTTTGTCTTCAATGAGGTGGTAGCATTTTGATATCGACTTCAAATAAAGATCAGTGACTTATTGATTGACAAAAACAGAATTTAATTTTCAAACTACCAAGAAAGAGGTCTGTAGTATCAACGATACTCAGGCAATTAAAGTATACAATTTAAACGAAGTGCGTAAATGTTTACTGAATTAATCATTCAAATTTGTATATATATTTCTATAATCACTTTAATCTTGACTATTGAATAAGTGGTTGGTTATCAAGGATGATAAATAAAAGGCACATTGTTACGCCTACACGTAAACACGTCAACTTGATATACTTGAACTATTACAAGTTTACCTAGTCGGAAACGAGAGCGAGGATCCGGTGACACATGTTACTCAAATCCGATTATTACAACCCCCATATTTAGTTAAAATAAGAAGACATGATGTGAAGTAGAACGTGTATTCTACAAGCATCCAGAAAGCACGAGGTCCGAATCCAGAAGAGAATCAGGACTTTGGACTAGGGATCCGGGACCGAGCCCTGGTCCTGGTCGTGGTCAATAAGCGTTACAGATAATGCGTATTTATACATTTTGGTCGAATAGAAAACAGCATCGAATTCTGTGGCATTGATAGTTAAGACGACCAATTGGAAGTAACATTTGAAATGACATTGATAATCAGGACAACCAATAAGAAACAACATTGAAGCATTTGACTTTGACAGTTATAACGACCATAATTTTGACCAATAGAAATCGACCAATAGGGTTTGACCAATAATTCTCTTAGGATATTGGATAAATATCCTAACACGCATATTTATTGTGCGTAAATTTTAATTGTTGTATTTTAAAAATAATTTTCATCACACTGTAATATACCAACTTGGGAGTCGTTGACAACGAGGAAAACACTTGTTGATGTTGATTAGATAGAATATGACTAGCAATGGAATCCAGGAATTGTCAGCTGAATAGGATGCCAACCAAGACTAATCGAATTTCAGTCAAAAATATCAATATTGAAACCATTTCAAATTGAATTGAATTCACTCTATTGTAAAAAATCTGTGTAATATGCGCACGAACCTGAAGTTGCACGTAAAAAGTTCATGAGTAACAGCAATTGTAACACCTCTAGATTGTTGTGACCTTGGAAAGTAATACAACTACTAATCATCTGCATACTAAAGCTACAAACAAATCGATAAAAGGGAATGAGTTATTTATTAAAAATGGTATATATCTATTTTAAATTGATCTTATTCAGCTAGATGCGACGTAGAATTTGGAACATACATGCATCGTTTCGAGGTGCCATATCTATTAGAAAAGAGAAACGAAACCTTCAAGCCAGATCCCATAGTAATAGACTTAGTAACAGTATCAATAGGTAGAAAAATAAAACGTACTATTCTATAAAGTATAAACCAGTAAAATAAATATAAAAATAAAAATTTTATTAATAATTTAGAAATGATAAACATCACTGGAAGTAATCAATTCTGATGGCAGTTTGCCAAAAGCTGATTCAGACGACCAGAATCGTTCGACTAGAAAGCCTTTATAAAGTTAGTGTAATTAATTTTTTGGTACACCTTTCATTGCCCAACCACAGCTGCTACCTTGACGTGGTGGTCGGGTTTGCCTATCGTGATGACCCAACCGAGCTATTTTGGCTGGAGCATATGTTCCTGAAGGTTCTACCATGCCAAGCAGGTCGATTGGAGGACGATGAAACTAAAAGCAGCTACTCAAGGTCTGAGGGCGAAGTCGTACTGCTGACTTCAGAGGGGTGTGACAGTAGTAAGGTGTTTCCTTGAGACAACCAGCGTCTGCAGCGATGCTTCCTTCTCACAAGGAAGGAGGAAGTTATGAAAGGTCGACCTTAAAAATGTCACATCTCACCTTACCTCACGGATTTCTGTGTCCGGTGATAAGGGCTTATTAACAAGAACGGAGCTAAAACTTTAAATACTATCCATAAAAAGGTTGTGCGTGACCGACCTGAAGCAGTTGTCCCTTGGACTCTGCGCTTTCGCTCCCAGGTTGTTAAGACCAACACTAATCTACCTTCCTTTTCAGGTTCCTCAGGAAACACTCACGTTGTAGGCAGTCGGGAAGTGACATCTGCTCTCATACCCGTACCAGCACACGAGATCGAATCGGTCTCAATCTATCCCCTTCTTACACCCCTTAACATCTCCCTTATCTCCATGATTAACCCTTCTCACATCCCTTTAACACCGTGCACTGCTAATGCAAACGACTCGAGCTCACGAAACACTAGTACTGGTCACCTGAAATCCCGTTCTAAACTGGGGCTGTTGGAACTTTTAATGTCTGGACATTGTGTTAAATAGGACAATAGGCTTCCCTAGCTAGGATTTGAACTGACAACTTCATCTTTGTGCTAATGTGATATGGCGACCTGAACTGATGTACTTACGTAAGAAATGCCACATTGTAACTGACTGACTGACTACAAATGGTTTTATCGGATGATCAGCTGTGTAAATCTTTACTTAATCATTCATTTTATGACAATCCATGTAACTAATTTCATATTCAAGTTTATATAACATGAATACAATATCATTTAGTTTAATTATTATATATGCATATATATATATAGGTCACTAATTAAAATGATCATACGATATTAGTTTAATAAAAATATATCAGCTAACATATGTATAATTTAGACGAGCTGTCAACTAAGAATTTACTTATCATTTATAACGGATTAAGTGTTAATTTTAATAAATTTATTGAATTATTGATTATTTATTTGATTGACATTTGATTGCCTGAGACGGCCAATGTAGCCACAGACTCTACAACACCTAGATCTCAACATACACATCCTTTGATGCATTAATATAGCATGCATCAATCGAATTACACTTGACGATGAACTTTCGGAAGATGTAAAAACCTTTATATATCTAGGCAAAATCATTGATGAGCAATGTGGATCTGATGTAGATGTAAAGACATAGATTAACAAAGCAAGAATAACATTTCTACAGTTGAAGAACATCTGCAACTCAAAACAACAGTCAATCAACACCATAGTCACAATTTTCAATATGAATGTCAAAATAGTTCTGTTGTATGAAGCGGACAACGTGTAGACCGCTTCACATATCTGGGGAGTCTCATCAGTGCCGGTGGCCTGGTGACTGACGAAATCTCAGCTCGGATACAGAAGGCCCGATTGGTTTTTGCCAACCTGCGTCAACTATGGCGAAGGCGAGATATCCGCTTGTTAACCAAAGGACGAGTGTACTGTGCAGTAGTTCGCTCCGTCCTACTATACGGGTGCGAAACATGGTCGTAGGTTACTAGTCTTGGATTATCGGTGTCTCCGAAGCATTGCTCGTGTATCCTGGGACAACCGTATAAGCAACGCTGTCGTTAGGAAACGAGTTCTAGGTAGGGATGGCAAATCAATAGATGGAGTATTAAAAGTGTATCAGTTGAGGTGTTTGGGACACGTGTTACATATTCCAAACCACCGACTGCCGCGATGAGCAGTGTTTTATGGTGTAGGAGTAGGTTGGAAGAAAGCTTGGGGGCGGCCAAACCAAAACATGGCACAAGTTCATGAAGTCACTGATAAGTGGACTGAGTCATGTAGGTAGATGTAGGCTACGTGGTTGGGGTCAGCGAGACGAAAGTCACCAATGGTTAGAGACCTTGAACGACATGGCTCAAAATTGTTTGCAATGGCGCAGGTGCATCCACTTTTTGTGTGCTTTTTAATTCTAACCTTTTGCATTCCACATAATCTCTATCTTTCTCCTTCTAAATTAATCTCACTGAATTTATACTTCTCGAATCATATCCTCGCTCCCTAATCTTCTCCATTACTGCTAATGCTTCTATTATCGCTATCACTGTTGGATTTGAACTGACAGTTACGTCTCTGTGTTAATGTGGTATGGTAACATGAACTGATGTACTCACGTACGAAATTCTGCGTTGTATCTGTCTGTCTGTATGTAGCGAAAGGTCAGAGGACTTACCAAAGCCATCATTCAACGGTACTAGTGTTTATTGTCAGCTGTCTATGCAAGCTGAGGATGCCGTTAGCCAGGCACTATCAGCAACAACATATTATGGGAAAGAAAAAAAAAACTGGCTTCCATCTGAAGGCGGATAGAATAGTCATTGTAGAAATCTTCCAACTGTTTCACGAAGCAAGCCCTCACTTGGAATGCTCAAGGCCAAATCAAACGAGGTAAACCAAGAAACACATTGCGCTGAGAAACGGAGACAGACACGATTAGAAAACTGAACAACAATTGGACAGAACTAGAAAGGAAGGTTATGAGAACAAAGTTGGTTGGAGAATAAATACTGTTTTTGAAGGCCTATACTCTATTAGGAGTAACAGGCATAAGTAAGTAAGTAAGTAAGTGAGTAATCTGATCTTCTCAAAAGTATCTATCGTGAAACACTGGACAAAATATCAAAATATAATTTATTGTATATCTTGATGCCTAGATAGATATTTAAAAATACAGTCTATGATGTAATAAAAAAAGAAAATATTTAATTGCAAAAACAAATTTCTTTTCTCTTTTGCATTTTTTTTCTTTAGGAATTTTTGCTTTATCCAGTTTTCTTAGTGAATCAAAATGTTTAAAATATTTGGATATACGTAATAATAATTTAGATATAGCTTCATTAATGGCTTTATCAAAAACTTTATCAATTAATAAAACATTAACCAGTCTAATTTCTGATGCACAAAATTGGATGAACTCTCAACTAGATTTATCTAGTGTAAGTTTAAATGAGAATATCTGTTGAAAAAATTCTCTTTTTAGATGGCTCGTTGTCTTGTATATATTGTTTTGTCATTTTTTTGTCTTTATATATTGGTTTAGTATATATAGACATCAGTCGATCAGTCCGGCAACAACGTAGAACTTGGTACGTACGTACATCATTTCAAGTTACCATACCACATTAGCACAGTCAGTTCAGTTACAACATAGGACTTCGTACGTACGTATGTACATAAGTTCTGGTTGCCATACCACATTAGCACAAACGTATGCTGTTACGGATATGAGGGTGGATTTCACTTCCCGGGTGCCCACTTCGTGAAAGGCGTTGGCACAGAGGCGCACTTGTCGCTTCCAATCCTATAGTAGTAGAGCTAATAGAAGCATTAACGGGGGGTCCGAAGATATTGTTCAAAAAGTATAATCCAGTGAAATTAATCTGAGAAAAGACAGATGAAGATCATTTAGAATTCAGATTAGAATTTGGGAGTACACAAAGAATGGATACACCTGTGCTATTGCAAACGATTTCGAGCCATATCATTCAAAGTCTCTAACTACCAGTTACTATCGTCTCGCGGATGCCAACTAGGTAGTCTACAACTGTTAACATGACACAGGCCGGTTGTCAATGACTACATGAATTTGTGCCATGTTTTAGTTTGCCCGCCTCTAGCTTTCTTTCAACCTGCTCCTGCACCAGAAAACATCGCTTGTCGAGGCAGTAAGGGGTCGGGCATTTATAGCACATGTTGCAACCACCTCAGCTAATTTATATACATTACTTCAGCTACTGATCTGCCATCGTTACTTAGTATCCATTTCCTAACAACAGCGTTGCTTACTCGATTGTCCCAGGATGTTCGAGCAATACTTCGGAGACACCTATGATCGAATACCAGTAACCTACGAAAATCCTCGCTTCTTAGTGGCCATATATATATATATATATATATATATATATATATATATATATATATATATATATATATTACTTTTTGGGAATAAATACAGTCTATTCAAATCAATTTTGTTTCAGTCGGTCGGGTTATACAGTTACATAACAGAGTATAATTTATAGAAGTATGACCCTAATGCAATCATTGCTGTCAGCTGTTACTTGTAACATGCATCAACTCCAACTTCACTGTCATTCTGCGCTAATAATTATTTGTATTTTGAACGTCAGATTCCATTTCCTTTTTTTAAAGCTTAATATCTCATAGACATATATACATAGACATAATTGTTTGCCAACCAGAGGGTGTGTTTATTGCTCAGCGGTCGATTCAGTTTTACTTTTCAGTTCTGAATGGAGATCTTTAAAGGTAGAAGACACATGTAAGATGAAGGTTTTTGATCATAGATTTTTTGAAACAACGACCGAGTGGGTTATCCTGAGGTTACACTTAGGGTACGTGGAAAAGGTTGCGAATCTTCATCGAACGAGGTGTTTAAGATATGTGTCATATTCGCGTTACCTCGACGTGAGATGGTTGCTAGTGTAGAAATAGATAAAAAGGGAGCTATGGATTACCAAACTAAAGCATGACATCAGTCCATGCAGTCACTGACTTCTATTCTGAACCATGTTGGTAGATACAGACTACACCTGCTTGAGATCCATGAGGCAATGGCAACCAGTGGTTGGAAAATTTGGGTGAAAAGACTTGGAATTGTCTTCACACTGGCACAGCTCTATTCACACTTGGTAATATCTATGTCTTTACTCTGTAAAGGTAGAGGTAACGTGAGTCTTGAATGCTGCTCGGGTGCTCAAACCAAAGCAGACTATTGAATAAAAATTTTGTTGGGGACGTTAGTGTTAGGATATCCTAAGAGTACTATTTTTAAAAGTGTAATCCTATTGGTCGATTTATATTGATCGAAATTATGGTCGTTTTAAGTGTGAAAGTCAAATACTTCAATGTTGTCTCTGATTGGTCTTCCGGACTGTCAATGTCATTTCAAATGTTCTTCCCTATTGGCCGTCCTAAACTGTCAATGTCACAGACTTTGATGCTCTTTCCTATTTGACCTTAATATATAAATACGCACTATCTGTAAGCCTTCAGGATTCCGATTCAAATTCCGGTTCTTCTGCCTACCTCTCTTTTGTACTCGACCCAATAAACAACTCCATCCCACGGTGTTGCGTTCTGATATATAGGAGATTTGGAAATAGCATTTTGGGTCGTATTGGGATATTTGAATTGGACGCCGCTAGGACTGAATAACTATACGTAGCAGCGTTAGATCCCCAGAACTCACTTGATAAACGTCTTAATTTTGGATTTTATTCATGGGCTGATCAGTTGATCTTGGGATCACATTTCCTACCGGGAAAATCCTTGGCTGTGATTGGTTGATGTGTTATTTTAGTACGTTATTTTTGTGGCTCTCCCAAGGACGTTTCTATGATGTATAAATAAACGCGATTTGTGTGCTTGACATCAATATATTTTCTGGGGGCTTGTAGAATACACTTTCTACGCCACATCAAGACATTTTCTTCAGTTGGGACAACGGATCAGAGTAGCCTACTGTGTCACTGGATCATTTGTCTTGGTTCTTGTTTATCGACTAAGGTGAACTCGTCATAGTTTCATGCATATCAAGTGACGAGCATAAGAGATTTACTGATTTATGGCAACAGTTATTGAATGACACTTATTGGTCATCTGAAGATCTTTAAATAACTCATACTTTTTTTTAACAAAGAAATTATTATGTAAAAATAGTAATATTTTCTAAGATTATTGACACCTATCGTTGCATGGTATCTACTGCTAAAGGATTATTTTCAACAAATCAATACTATTTACACTTTCACCCATGTTTACAATGGCAAGTAAAAAAAGCAAGTTCTACTTCCTGTTGTGTGTGAGATTATCATCATTCTTATTAGTTAATACTAATCTTTTTTGAAAGTTTTGAAAGAGTCTCCTTGGGTCTTGAAAGTCCTGGGCTCGAATCCTTATGAAGTTGTGGATACGTACTATCACTAATCATCTAACTAATAAAATGATTTCATGATATTAAACTAATCTAATCAAAATCGCTAAAAAAAAACCTGAATTTTATTGATTTTTTGATTTTTAAACTGTTTACAGAAAGATAAAGATTTAATTCGTTCTCTCATTGAAAGTATCAATTCAAATTTGATAAGAAATCGTTTACAAACCGAAGTAGTTGATGATAACAATAATAATAATAATAATAGTAATCATAATGACGATGTTTCAATGATGAATCCTGTCACAACAATACCAGCTGATGTTGAAAATGAGACGAATTCACTGATACAATGTAATGATCATAATTCCCTGACTAATTCGACTATAAACAATGATGAATTGTCATCATTATGCGATGCAACCTTAGAGACAACATCAGTCACACTGGATTATGAATATGAGGATAATGTTAATCTCCCATTGAAGACAACAACACTTGAGAAACGTGATACTGATCACGATAATGATGATGATGATGATGATGATGATGTTAACGTTGAAGATGTGAAGAATGTCAATGTGGCAACAAACCTTACTGATTCTATTCATGAACAACTATTCACCGAATATGTATTGGATAGTGAAATCAATAATAATAATAATAATAATAATAATAATAATAATAATAATAGTGACGAGAATTACGCAACCATCGATCAACATAATAACAAAGAAGCGAATGTGACAAGAGTAGACGAAGAAGTAGACGACCATTCGGAACAATCCTCTTCTATACCACAAAATATATCTAATTTAATTGCACCCAGTGAAAATCTCTCTGCATGTTCAACAAATTCATTACTACACAATATAAATATATCATCGATGATTAACGATGAATCAAATGTAACACAATCACCATCTGTCGTCACTACTACTACTACTACTAATAATAATAATATAAATCATGATACAACTAATAAAAAATCTGTTGTCAAACAGAAATCAAAGAAATCTAAACGAACTCCCCCTCATGGTAATAAAAATACCCCGTCATCAAAAACCAATACCAATGGTGTTTAACATTATAGCAATCATAATCCTATTTTAATAATAATATTCATAATAATCATAATAATCATAACCTCCTGATCCTATTGTTTTATAAGAAATTTTTGCTTTTTTACTCAATTAATCTATACTTTAAAACAAAATCAATTACTGTGATCTTCTTTCTATTTGTGGTAAGTTATTATTGTTCAATGATCAATGTGTTTTTTTTTTGTTTGTTTTAAATGTTCATTGTTACGTATGAATTGATGTTTTTATGAATTGTCTAGGATGAATGAATATGTCCGGTGGGCTTAAACCGGATTGATGAGTGCAGAGTTAGAAAACTTGTTTTTGATTAACGGCTGTCATGGAGCTGCGTCTCCTAACTTCGCTCCATGGTTTTGTGGACTAGGCATGCAGGTCAAAGGCTCGGTGAGTAGTTTCTACGATTTAGGTGCCAAGGTACGAAATACCCCAGCTAATACACAGATTCAATGTGTGGTGCATACGTATTTAGGTATCCCTTTGCCAACCTGCGTCACTTATGGCGCAGGCGAGATATCTGCTTGTTAACCAAAGGACCGAGTGTACTGCGCAGCAGTATAAGCAATGCTGTAGTTCGGAAACGAGTTCTAGGTAGGGATGTCAAATCAATAGATGAAGTATTAAAAGTGTATCAGTTGAGATGGTTGTGACATGTGTTGCGTATGCCTAATCACCGACTGCCTCGACGAGCTATGTTTTGTAGTGTAGGAGTAGGTTGGAAGAAAACTAGTGGCGGCCAAACCAAAATATGGCGGAAATTCATGAAGTCACTGATAAATGGACTGAGTCATGTTGGTAGATGTAGACTACGTGGTTGGGGTCCCCGAGACGAAAGTCACCAATGTTTAGAGACGTTGAATGACGTGGCTCAGAATCGTTTGCCATGGCGAAGGTGCATGCACTGATTGTGTTCTCTCTAATTCTAACCTTCTGAATTCCTCATGATAGCTATGTTTCTCCTTTTAAATTTATCTCACTGAATTTATACTTCTCGAATTATATCTTCCCTCCTTAATCTTCTCCATTACTGCTAATGCTGCTATTATCGCTATCACTCCTGGATTTGAACTGACAGTTGCGTCTCTGTGTTGATGTGGTATGGCAACATGAACTGATGTACTTATGTACGAAGTTCTGTGTTGTATCTGTCTGTCCGTCTGTCTGTCCCTTTGTACAAATGCTTGTGTATTTAATACATTATAAATAACTCAATACTTTAATGTCGAGAAAGTTAGTGATTTGGTATGTATCCTATAGATGAGAAGACATATCTTTGAGATGGTGGAGAAATTTTTTAAGTCAAGTGGATGATTGTGATGGAGTTTCGTTGTTTGAGCTGGATGCTTTGGTCGTGGAGCTTTGATTGTTCGTCGCAAAAACATCATCAGCACAAACTTCAGATAGCAGAAGTGAAGTATTCGAATTTCTCCACGTACAACTCGTAGCTTATTCTGTTGTCCTCGATTTTGATTGGTTGCTATTGACCTTCAACCTGTCTTTGTTTGCACTTTTGTTTTGATTGTATACCCCTTTGATCTGTTTCTCGATCCTAAGTCTTTCTAGAATTTTTCTGATTAATTGATAAATTGGGCAAATTTCGATGTGTTTGCTGATTAACTTGAGTACCAAGCTTCTAAAAATTCTCTATTATTCTTTGTATTTCCTCTATCCAATACTTCAATATTGTTCCAGTCGAATGTATGTCCATTGCTGTCCGTATGTATTTATATAAGGGGAGAAGGCGTTTGACTGCTAACTGATTTTCACATACACAAAGCTGACTAGAACGTCTATTTTGTCCGGTGTAGTTTTTTTTTGCTCGAAACGATCAAAGAAGAAAAATCAAACATCATCTAAAAAATAAACTGTTCAAACGCCTTAAGTTTGTGTTGATGATCTAGCTTAGAAGAACAAGGAAAATCCCATAACCAAAACATCCAGCTCAGAAAACGAAACTCCACCACAAAGCCAGTCAACAACAACGTAGAACTCCATACGTACGTACATTAGTTCAAGTTGACATACTACATTAACACAGCGATGCAATTGTCACCTCAAATCCCATACTAGTAGAGGTAGTAGAAGTGTTAGCAATAATCGGAAATTTTAGGATTAGAAGATATTATTCAAGAAGTAGAATCTAGTGAAATAAACCTAAAAGAAAAAGATAAAGGTGATGAGGAATTAAGAAGGTTAGGATTTGAGATAACACAAAGAATGAATGCACCTGTACCACGGTAAACGGTTTTTGAGCCATGTCATTCAAGGTTTCTAACCATCGATTACTATCATGTCGCGGACCCCACCTAGGTAGTCGACACCTACCAGCCACCACAAAGAATCCATACCTTTTCCATTTCATTGTTCAATTGATTAAGAATCATAATATTTTTTACATATTTTATAAGTTATCTTTAGAGTAACATTGTCTAAGTATTCTTGTATTGTTGTATTATAACACACCTCGTTTATAAATTCACTATGTGTACTATAGATAATCTACATTTGAAGATTCTAAGTAAGATAACCAGTGTGCAATAAAAATAATGCTAAAGTATATAGAACTTGACAATTATTGAACGCAATTTATCATACACTACTAGCAATTACCTTTTGCATTTGAATTCTTTGAATTTGACAACTAAATATCTACTACATATTTAATATATCTAGTAGATTTAATTGTAGTATCCGTTGTTCTGTAATGGGATGAGTTATATAACTTTTTAACTTTGTGAATCTGTTATGCTTCAAACTCTATTATGAGTTCATCTTACTCAGTAAACGGAATAAAGATTAACAATGCAGTGACATGATAGGCTATTCTAATCCGATTGTCCCATGCCTTGCTAACTAGAGCAAGAAGTTTTGATAAGACGCAGTGAGAATGTATTTCACAAGCACCCGAAAAGTACGATGTCCACCAGCACACAACTCAAGCTTATTTATACAATGATAGAAACGCCCTTGGTGAGAACCACAAAATAGCGTACTAAAATAATCCATCAACCAATGGCACTCAAAGATTTTCCTAGTGGGAAATATAAGCTGTAGGTCAACTTAACGTCTTTGGAGCGAAAATAAATTATAAAATTAGGACTTTTTCGCAAGTGAGTTCTTGGGGTCTAACACCCCCAACAAAATCTATATTTATTATTTAAATTACTTTTATTGGTTAGAGTTAGTTGATGAATCTAACAGAAAGCTAACTTTGGTCCGATCGATATTTTGTGTTCAATTTTATTGTCAATAGAAATGATTCTTTACAATATTCTCAACTCATTATGTTTACAGTTTACATAAAACGTTTTAATTTTTTTTAAATGAACAAGCATGAATCGTATTTTCAGTTTTTGCTACGTATACATTTAAAAACGTCAATTTGATATGCTTCAACTATTATGAGTTTACCTTAGTCGGAAAATGAGAGTGAGGATCGAGGATCGGGCGAAACGACATGCTACTGTAATCCGATTATCCCAACCCCCATATTTAGTAAAAATAAGAAGACTTGATATGAAGTAGAACATGTATTCTACAAGAATCCAGAATGTACGAGATCCGAGTCCAGAAGAGAATCAGAATCCCGGATTAAGAGTCCAGGCCCGGGTCATGAAAAGTTACACATAATGCGTATTTATACATTTAGATCGAATAGGAACCGACATTGAAGTCTGTGACATTGATTGTTAGAACGGCCAATGAGAAACAACATTGAAGTATGTGACATTGACAGTTAGGTCGATTATAATATTGACCAGTAGGAATTAACCAATAGGAATCGACCAATAGGACTAGACTTACAAATAATTCTTTAACGATATTGGTTGAATATCCTAACAGTTTTTTTAAACTGTTATTTTTTGTTTGTATAAATTATCTATAAAAAAATGGTATTTAAAATATTTAATTGATCGAATTTCCCTCTTTTTCTTGTTTTACTTTTATCTTTCAATCGATCACTGCTGTTCAGCATTCGTTCAATTCATCAAAAATCTCTGAAATATATATACCTGCCTATATACTCATCTGGCTGGCTCCACTTTTTCTCATTTGACTCATACAATAATCTCCAATTTTTCAATATATTCATTTTTATTTTGTTCACAAAAAGAAGCTATTTCTTTTTTTGTGATCTGGTTTCCCATTTTTTCCTTTTTTCCTTAAAAAAAAACGTCAAATAACTTGAAGTGGTTATTTTTTTTTGTCATTTTTTTGTTCCAGTTCAATAATAATTATTCATTTCTCTTTGTCATATCGATCCCAGATGAATTTTTTGTTGTTGCTTATTTGTTTGTCAGTAGTACAACAAATTCAATTCTAGGAGGCTTTACTATTCTCCTTTATTTTCTGTAAAAAAAAATTGTTCTGTTTTTTTTAAAATTTTTATTTGGGATTGATTATGTTGATTTATGATTATTACGTAATCACATTATATTTCATAATGTCATTAACACCTCTTTCTTTTCTCTCATCTATCTATCTATCCATCCACATTACCGATATTGCATCTTCTTGTCATTCAATATTTTGCATAAAGCTTTCAAAATTGAATTAAACAATTGGTCTATATATATATATATACATACATTTATATCATGATTATTTGATCTTTCGTTTTTTTAATACATAAATTATGGTGCATTATTGATTTTTATCATTCTCTGTTGTTGTGTTTTGTTTTGTTTTTTCTAACAAGAAAAAAAAACTATTTAACTGTGATTTTTTTTAATTTCATTGTCATTGTTTACACGATATGAAGCAGTAAGAACAAACGATTTTATTCACACATTCATAACAGTTTTTATCTTCTTTCTTTTTTTTCGGCGCATACAATTAACCCTGTGTGTGTGTGCGTGTATTTTCTTCGGTTTCATCCGTAAATATTTACTCTGGATTTTTTTTTAAAACTTTTTCTTGTGAAACCGCAGACAGCATTCAACCACTCATGAAAAGTTTCAAGGTTTCATGTTGATTGGTGGTCT